TTTTATACAAATTAATACTGATGTATTACCCTTACAGAAGTCAAGTACTCAACAATTTTGGCCAAAAGTATCAATCCCATTTTTAAGTAATCCATTATTCGATTTTTCATAGACTTGTTTTGCGGTCAAAGTAAACCTGTAAATTTGAATGAATATTTAAAATATTTCGGTGAAGAAATGTAAAAGTTAAAAAAAGGTCAAGTTAAAATCTATGTAGGTAGTAAAAAAAAAATACTCTGTAAACATTGGTATATCCTGCTTTGAAATACTACTGCATAGGGCAAACAAAACAAGGTAAAAGTCATACTGGATATTACGTTTGTGATAAGTGAATCCAAAAATGGGAATGGCATAATAAGGTTACATTTCTTAATAGTGATGCTCTGCTTTGAACTGATTAATCTTTTAATGAAAATGCTGATAATCGCATACATCTATTTACAAATTGGTATTACTAATACCAAGATGTAAAAAATAATTAGTATTTTATGAGATGTGGTTTTTGTTCAAAATATGAACATTAAAAATTGTATTCAGTATTATATAGTATGTGGAATGAAATTTATAAATACTTTATTTTAAAATAAATTTTCAAATTGAAATAACAAAATTTTTTAAATTATTTAAAAAAACTAAACATCTAATAACATAAGTTAATATAACTTCACAATAAATATTTACAATAGTTTAAATGTATTTTTTTATATTTTTATTATGAAACTTTTCGCATAAGTACTCTATCCTATTAAAACTATAGCTGATTTAATTAGCATTACATTTACACAGTGATGATTAAATTCATTATTTAACTGATTGCAGGTTAGTACAAGAATCAGATACATGTTATAGGACTCAAGGAATTAGTGATACACAATACAGGGATTTGGAGTTCCGCGGGAGCTGAAACCGGAGCTAGTTAGAGTTTGTGTTTTTACAAGAAGCTGAGCCGGAGCTAAAGCTGAAATATTTCCAGATGGAGCTGGCTCCAAGCTAGCTCCTCTTTTTGAGAATTTGAAAGATCAAAGTATAAGTAGTTTTTGTTAAAAGGATTTCCAAGTACTATGAAGTTTTTTTTAAAGAAAGTTTTTTTTCAATTTAAACTGTAATTAGTAATGTAGTCTAAAGTTTTATGATTTCTAAAGAAAGCATTTTATATTTTTATGTTGATATTATATGTATAGATTGAGTGTTAAGTATTTTGATGCTCAAATTACACTTGAGCTGGTGTATATAAAGTTGTTTTGTATACATTTAAAAAAACGCACACCGTAGCGAAAATAATTTATTTGAAAAAAAATGTCCATCAAAACCGGTTTACATTTTTGAAACCGCAATATTTTAACAACTTTTATCTAAATTTTAAAAATATTCTGTCAACGTCTTTCAAAAAAAATAAGAGAGTTAAACGGACAGCTCATAGATTTTTGGTGTTCAAAACAGGTAACTCTCAGAGAAGGTGCAAACTTTGATTTTTGTAATATTAATACTGGTATCCAATAAGAATGTTTTACCAAAAATTACAGTGGTAGGAGCCTGAGAACATTATACACCTGAAAAATTGGGACCCATTGTCCCGAATGTGAAAAGAGGAAATAAAACTTTTTTTTTTCGCAGTGTCTTATAAAAGATTGAAATTCATCGGAAAAATTATTTTATCAAAAAAAAAATTCCTTATTGTTTAAAAATGGCGACCAAGGCAAGTTTGAAACCCGCTCTATTTTAGGGAGTTGTGAACTTTACGGAGTCATAACTTTTGAACGTTAAAATGATTACTAATGAATTTTTGCCGAGTTCATAATAGTTGAGCTTTTTTTGAGTGCTATGATTGCCCTTTCCCTAAAATATTTTTGGACTTTAGGGCCCTAATTTTAGGATAATATTGTTCTCAAACTCTAATCACCATGATTTTTTTTTAACATATTATTTGTAAAATAATCTTGAAATCGATCTTTTAGTATATATTTAATTGTTTTTCAATTAGAGAATTGTTTAAACAACACAAATTAATGTTTGCATTTATATTTATTTCCATTTACAATAAATAATAGTTTATAAAAGATGTACATATATATTATAACATATTTAATTTTAAAGTAAAACTGTTTTAGAGAAGGTATGTCGGGAGTTGTACGTAACAATGGCTTTAAGCAGGTTTTGCGATAGTCTTCAAGACTTCTAGAAACTTTTTATCTACTCTCCCAAAACTGTTTGAAATCATAATAATCAGATTCAGAGGCCTGTTCAGACCAAAAACCCAATCCTTTATTTGGATTGGAATTATACATAAGTGAAAGAAATTCACATGTATGCTTGTTAAGAGCATGCACTTTCGGTGACACTCTTAGAACAAGTTTAGCATAAGCATCTTTGTATTCGTTAATGGTTGACTCATATTCAGATAACAAATTAGAACTAAGACATGCAATATTTAAACATTTAAAGGAATTAACTATAGAAACGATATGTTCATCTTTTTCCAGATTTTATTAATTCTTCTAACACATGAATATTTTTTTGCAGTTTCGAACGTTGTTCGAACGTTCTCCACCTTTAAATTGACCAACATACAGCTTATGCCTTTGAAAACCTAAAATTTGGTTTCACTGGATTGCCGATAAAGTGGTATCCGAATATTTTTTAAGATTATCATAAGTTCTGTTTGTATTTCCACAAAGTAAATGAAGCTCCGTTGGAGCAAAGATTTCATTAACTTTTACTTCATCAGGCAGATCAACTAGTGGAAGGTTAACGCAATTAACATATAAGATCCAGCTAAAGGCTTGACTTTTTTTTTAACCTTTACAGGCGGTTTTGTAAGCATTAGTTAATAAGCGGATACTTCCTAGATTTCTGAGCTCACCATGATTTTCAAAGTCTTCTTTTCTTTGCTACTATTACAACAAGGCTAAAGATGTGTTGATGCCGCACTTTCATTTCCAAGAAATATATTGACCATTTATATCAAAAGTACAAAAGTATTTTAAACTATATAGATTTAAAATAGTGATAATTTTCTCAAGATTTTAATGAGATTCAGCTACGTTTTCTGTTATGCCAATGATAAACGCCTTGTTTACGCCACCTTCTTTGTATTTTTCATTACCTATTCCTTCCTCATAGATAAATTTTTTTTTTGACATTATACTTTATCTCTTTTTCTATAATATTTAAACAAACTTAATATTTAAAAATTCGCCTCTAATGTCAATGCCCACGTTTAGAATATAATCTTTTTACAATTTTCTCTCCTTTATTACTTTCTCAACAAATCCTTTAATGTTTTTACAATAAACCAACTGTCTGGAATCTTTTTTAAAAATTATTTCTTTAACATCAAAATAATCATTTAAAAACCTTTCTTCTTCACTTTAATTCTCTCTTACATTACTTTCAAATAATTCTCTTCCTTTCCAGCTTCTAAATATGCTAAGAACATTGGCTCCCTGTGAATTACTCCAGTGATGTTCACAAGTGTTTTTAAATTTGCTTATTTCTGAAATAGGTATTTTTTTCAACTGGAAAAAGCGCTTTTGAAGAGCATTTTTGGTTCAACGGCAAATAGCTTTACCTTTAGCTGCAACCTTGATTCCTCAAGTTTTCTTTTCAATACTTTTGAGCATTGAAGTTCAGCACCTCGTCTACTTTAATATCAAAAGAAATTCACATCCATATTTTCAGTTTTTATATTTCAAATGTTTATTTTATATAAATCTCTTAATTTCAAGTTTGAAATACTAAATCAAAAATTAAAGATTCGCCCTATCTTTGTCAAGTTCTTCTATTAAATTTTTTTTTCGTTGTGAGAGTACAAGAGTGCGGTAATCCTCTTCCAATGACAACCCTACAACTTTTACATATTTTTATTGTTCCAGATGATGATGTCTTTACTCTTGCCAACTTGATTCTTCCTCTATTTTCAGATATTGATCCTGGAGTAATTGTAGTTCAAGTAATTTCACAAATGTAACAATTTGAGAGTGATTAAGTATACTTACTTCGACTTTTGAAAATTCAAAGGGTTTACTCAGAATGTTTTTATCTCCTTTTTCAAGTATTTCTAATGCTTTTTTACATTTAGCACAAATGCTATTAGGGAAAGGCTTTATTGTTCAGATCAAATGGTTTTAAAAATAACTTATGTATCCTGTTCAATGTCACGCTTCCTTCTTTAACTTTTGTCAATCCTGATCTTTTTGAAAAACAAAATTATGCAGACTAAGGCTCTATTATTTTTATGAGAGTTTTTAATGATTGGCATTTTGAAACGATATAAGCAATACTAATCAGTTTTTATAATTTTTTTTAATTAACTATTGTAGCAGATAAAAAAAGTTCATAATATCAATTAATAAATTTTTTTGCGGTATGCGACAAGAAAGTATACAAAACAGAGAAATGTTGTTTATACATTTTAACCTGTAATGTAAACAAAAATCCATGAGCTGCCTGTTTAACCCTTTTTTTTTTGAAAGACGTCGACAGAATTTTTTTTTGAATTTAGATATTTTTTGTAAAAGTATCAAGGTTTTGAAAATGTAAACCGTGGTTTCGAAACCGTTTCTGGTGGACATTTTTTTTTTCAAATAAATTAGTTCCGCTAGGGTTTGAGCGCTATTGCTTTTTTAGAAAGTAATTTTGATCAAAATGTTTTTTGTAATCTTTTTGTAATTTTTTGTTTTTTGGTTTATGTTGCTGCATAACTTTAAAAGTTACTTTAAAACATATTAATAATAAAAATTTTATTGTTTATATGTTTTTATTTGCACCACACCAATTTTTTTTCAAGTAGTTCAGCAATAAAGCAAGATTTAAAAAAGAGTAAAAAACAATAAACACATTGATAAAGTATATTTATTGTATATTTTTAAAATGTCAGGATTCTAAATGGAATATTAGAATTCTTACTTTGTAGTTTTGTTTTATTTATGTTGTATTTACATTTGAAATTAATTTTATTAAATTTTAAGAGCTGACATTGCAATCGAAAAAAAAGAAAAATAATGCAAATTCTCAAATCAAAAATTATCAAAACTTAACCAACAATCAAGCAGCAAATTTTAGTTCTGAATCTTTAGGTAGTAAACATTTTGTACCACTTTTTCCACCACCTCCCTGTCAAAAGTTGACTTCCACCACCTCCACAGATCGTATTGATAAATCTTCGCCGGCTATTTCTAGCACAAACTGCAATTTGTAAGTTTTGCATTTAGAATGCTAATTTGGCATATATGATGTTCAATTATATTTGTAAAAAAAATTTGTTTAACAACACAAATGTGGAGTCTGAAATAGATTTTTTTAGAATTTAATTGAATTAATTAAAAGAAATAGATGATTTCTTTTTTTAATTGGACAAAGAGGTCTTGATGACTGTTTGAGAAAAGTTGCTAAGAAAATTTCGACAGCTATCAATGCTGTATAATTTTGCAGGAAGAAAACGAAAACTTATAGAGTTTGGTTATAGAGTTGGGGTGAAAAATTGTGATATATAGTTGACAAACTTATTAAAAAAATTATTTTGAAAAACTATTTTTATATAAGATAAAACTTTTATTTTCATCGTAGTCGTCGTTGTGGCCATCATCATCATCATCATCACATCATCATCATCATCATCATTATTCTTTCACATCATCATCATCATCATCATCATCATCATCATCATCATCATCATCATCATCATTCTTTCACATCATCATCATCATCATCATCATCATCATCATCATCATCACATCATCATCATCATCATCATTCTTTCACATCATCATCATCATCATCATCATCATCATAATCATCATCATCATCACCATCATCATCATTATCATCATCATCATCATCATCACCATCACCATCATAAATATTTTATAATAAAGTTTTGCATTATAACCTTTCCATCTACTTATTATTCCACATTTTATTATGCAGATGCAGTAAAAAGCTATACATCAACAGCTATTCAACTGGACGAATTATTATCTAAATGTCTAGCAAGCAGGGATGGACTAAAAAAACTTGATAAAACATTCATAACAGAACGTATGCATATATTATTATAATATTCACTTAAGTGATAATTATAACTAACAGTAATATATGAATTATTACAGTAATTGTTGCGGCAGTGGTGTAGTGGTAAGAGCGCTCGCTTTGTAAGCGAGAGGTTCGGAGTTCGACTCCCACCACGTCCCTGGAAGTACCGCGCTTAACTTAGTTTCTCCGCGCAGCGGCCTTGCTTGTCAAGGTTCGTGTTTCGGAGTTAAAGAGTTGAGAGAGGGTTGTACCACGAAATACAACAAAAAAAAATAAAAAACACAAAAAAAATGAGTAGCCTCCTCGACTGTAGTGGCCCCCTCGGGCCTTGGGGAGGTGAATAATGTAAAAAAAAAAAAAAAAAAAAAAAAATTTATTCATTACTATTAATATTAGTTATGATTAAATTAAAGATAAAATTAGTTATTTAATACTATTATTGGCCCAACATTGGAGCCATGATCTGTACTGTAATTTGCCAAAATTTACCCAATTTATGCTCTATAATTATATTGAGCTCTATATATGCTCTATATATGCTCTATAATAAATAAAATATTTGCCCAATGTTTGCGGCCAATATCGGCCCAATATAGTAGCCATTAATTGCGCAATAATGACCCAAGGAATTTGTACTATCTAGGATATATATTTGTATTACTTTCACCTCATACTGATAAAAAAAAAAACAATGATTGAAGCCCTTGAACCCGAGAAGTTAGTTAAAAATTAGTTTCCAATGGAAGTTCGAAGCCCTTTAGGATTTTATTTATTTTTTATTTGCAATAAAATGTGGAGGGTATTATTTATTATAAACAAATGTTTTGCATTCTATATATTTCTTTTTTTCATTTTCTTTATATAATTTAGAGTACCAGCATATGATGTTCAAGATGGTACCAAAGATTCTTGAAAAAAGGAGCTCATTATCGCTATAAATAAATAACCCCATAGTAATTTGGCAATCAAGCAATTGGACACTATTGTATGAGGATTTCATAAAATATTTCGAGGATGATTCTACTTGATTTGGTACATACTTTGTCCTTGCATTTAAAAAAATAAAAATAATTACGTTAATATAATTTCACAATTATATTTTTGAAAATTTTTTGAGTTTTTTTAGGTTGGTTATAAATAGGTTTTTTTTAAATTATATTTTTGCATGAGCAATCGTTTTTTGTATTTTTTTTTTTATTAAATTCTTTAAGTATTATTATTGTAACCAATAGTGGTAAACTGTATTATTTATTTCATAAACTTTATTATTTATTAATTATGTTTTATAGATTATTTACAAATACCTTCCATGACTCGTTAAACTTAAAAGGTTCTGGTGGAAAGATTATTTATCATCAACCAAACTATGTGATCTAATAGAAGGTAATAAAAAATAGTTTTAATTGTTAATATTTTTTAATATTTAGCATAAAATCTATGTTAAATTAAAATTATTTTTAAGATTTTTTTTTGACTCAATTATTTGGCAAATTTACATTTTATTGTTTGGCAAGTATCTGTTCATTTAATTTTATTTTTAGAAGTTGTTAAATGAAGATTTGAAAAGGTTTTAAATGATATTAAACAGCAAAGTGGACAGTTTTGTAAAAATGCAATATTAATTTATGAGTTCGCTTAATAATGTTTTTAATGTTGTCCGTAGTGACAACTTAATTACACCATTGATGAACAGTTTTCTTAAATTATAACTTAATAAATCTTTAGACCGTCTTTAGTACGATGTATTGAAGCAGTATTCTGTAAAACGCTATTCCGACGAACAAAGGTGACCATTTTAAGGCATTTTTTAGACGCTAATTTTTATCTAAACTAAATACTTAAAAGCGCCTAAAATAAGACTAAAAGACGTTTTGAATAAAACGTTTTTAGGACGTTAAAATAGGAAGTTTTTATCTGTCTAGAGTAAAACATCTTTAAGCAATCTTGAGTAAGACATCTTTTCGATTGACAACGTAGACCTTTTTAATACATCTTTAAGACGTCTTGAATAAAACGTTTTTAGTCTGTTTAAATAAGTCATTTGAAACCACTTTATAATAAGACGACTATAAGCAATCTCGAATAAGACGTCGTTTCGACGGACAACGTAAACCTTTTTAAGATATCTTTGAGACATTTTTTTAAACTTGAAAAGACGTCTTTAAAACAGCTAAAAGATATCTTTTTGTTTGATAGGATTGCTCTATACATAAGAAATAGGTATTACTACAGAATATTGAAAAGTTTTATTGTTAAAAGACAGATTGCTTGCGCCCATTCTCTTCATAGCCCCTTCCCCTCAGTTTAAATAAGTATATATCAAATAAAAATAATATATATATATATATATATATATATATATATATATATATATATATATATATATATATATATATATATATCCTCTAATATATTTCAATAACAATAACAATAATATTTATTCTGAAATAAAAGTTTACATTTCATGGTTGTTTACTAATAGTACAAGTACTAATCTAAGGTAAGCACCAATTAAATAATAATAGCAATCATATAATAATAATAATAATAATAATGTAAATTAAATGAAGACGATTATAATAATATCAATAATACTATTAAATATAATAATGACAATAATAATGATTATATTAGTAATTATAATAACAACAACAACAATAATAACAATAATAGCAATAATAACAATAGCAATAATAGCAATAATAGCAATAATAATAATATTAACAAATATCACATTTATATATTAAACAATTTTAATAAGTAATAATGACGGTAATAAAAAAAATAATAATAATAAGGTATAACTGTAACAACTGTTTTAAACAGTTGTGAAGTGCAATAACATAAGATATTGCACTGTAACAGCTCATTTTGCTTTTTGTTTGTGTTTTAACAAATAATTTCTGCAAAATCCAGCTCTGTCTAGCTTGTTTTTGAAGTTATTTATTGAAGTAGCTTCTATTATTTCAGATGGTAAGCTGTTCCACGCATTTACAACTCGATTTTGGAAAAAATGATACCTGAAGGTATTTCTGCTAAAAGGCTTCCTCATTTTGAATTTGTGTTGTCGCAGACATGGACCCTCCTCCAATGCATTTCCACAATCGTTAGCAACCCAATTTATTTTATCGTTGCCATGCTGAATTTTATATTGTTGAATCAAAACTCCACGTATTCTACGTTCTTCCAGTGACGTTAATTGCATAATATTCAACCTAGCCTCATATAATAATTTTCTAATTGTAGGTGCTAGTTTGGTTGCTCTTTTTTGGATTTTCTCAATCTTGTCAATGTCTTGTTTTAAAAATGGAGACCATCCCTGGATTGCAAACTCAAGATGTGGACGTATAAACGTTGTATAGAGCATTTTTACCATGTTTAGATCTAAATATTTAAAGCTTCTCTTTATGGTACCTAACATTCTGTTTGCTTTGCTGGTTGCTGAATCAACTTGTGAGTGCCATTTTAAATCGGATTGAACCATTATACCCAAATCACGTTCAACTTTTGTGTTACACAATGTATAATTGTAATTGCAATCAATATCAGTCATTATAAATGTAGCATTTGGATTTTTTTTCCCAATATGCATAACTTTGCATTTTTCATAATTAAATTTTGTGAGCCAAATAGATGACCATGCCATTATATTATTTATATCATTTTGGAGGCTTATTGAATCATTAGGATTTTTTATAATATTTATTATATTACTATCATCAGCGTAAAGTTTAATAGGGTTTTTGACTTGATCTGGAAAATCGTTAATAAAAATCAAAAACAGCAGTGGTCCTAAAACTGACCCCTGTGGTACACTACTAATAACTGGTAGCCAATCTGAGACAGTGTCGCCAAAGACCACTCTCTGTTTTCTGTTAGTTAAAAAGTTCTCTATCCATCCCAGATAATTTCTCACAATACCATATGATTGAAGTTTAGTGATCAAGCGCGAGTGTGGTACTTTATCAAAAGCCTTTTCAAAGTCTAGATACAACATATCAACTGAGTGGCCATTTTCTAGTGCATCTGTTATGATATCAAGAGTTTCCAATAGGTTTGTTGTGCAGCTTTTATTTTTTCTGAACCAATGCTAATTTTCATTTATAAAGCTGTTATTTATTAGATAATCCATAATATCATCTCTAATGAGTGATTCCAAAACTTTACATGGGATAGAAGTCAATGAGATTGGCCTGTAATTAGATGCAATGTTCGTATTATCTTTTTTAAAAATTTTAAAAATTTTAAAAACCTTTTTTAACTTTTTTGTTAGAATTTACATAACTATAAAATAACTTGGGATTTCTTTTTGACGTTTCACTGATTTTTTTTTCATATTCAATACGTTTTAACCTCACCATAAATAAAATGTAAGTAATATTAACATCACATATGATAATAATACTAATAACATTAGTAATAATAATCTAAGCCTAAGATTTTAATTAGAGTATTTTTCTATCAAAAAGTCAAAAAGACGGGTTTTAAATTGTGAAAAAGAGTTGAGGGATTGAAAATGAAAAGGTAAATTATTCCAAGATTTTACGCATTGGTTTGTAATAGAATTATCACCGTATTTTACCGAACAGCGATTTGGGATAGATATTTTAAAGTTATTCAAAGATCGAAGGTAATAACGAGAACTTTTTTTAGTGGTAAAAAAATTGGAGAATGACGGAGGGAGGTTTACTTGTTTATGATTCCAGACAAATAGACAATTTAATAAATAAACAAGATCACATAATTTGAGTATTTTTGATAGAAACTAAAGGATATCAGAGTTAGAATGATACTGTTGAAAGAATATTATTTTTAAAGCTTTGTTTTGTAGGTTACATAACCTTAAAAAAGCATTAGACTTGCATTGTCCCCAAACCTAACAATCGTATCTAAGATGAGATCCAAAAATTGCATGATATATATTAAGTAGAGTTTCATAATTGACATAGTCGCGAATTTTGGCTAGCATTCCATTTGATCTACACAATTCTACTCCTAAGTTTTTAAGATGAGAAGAAAAAGATAGATCTGAGTCAATTTGGATTCCAAGATATTTTAGTGAAACTACGGGAAAGATTTTTAGTCCACTTAGCCTAAAGTTTAGGTTTTTATACATTTTAGATTGGTTTGATTTGAAAATAATAAGTACAGTTTTGTTGGTATTAAAACTTAGTTTGTTAGAGCGCAGCCATTGGAGAAGGTTAGATAAATCATGATTAGTATGATTGTTAATTTTTTTCAATGATTTGTTTGTTATGAATAAGTTGGTGTCGTAAGCAAAATGGTAAGCCGTTGAAAATTTTAGAGAGATTTTAAGATCATTTATAAAAATAAGGAAAAGCAATGGTCCTAATACAGAACCTTGTGGTACACCCGTGGAGCATTTTATTGGAAAAGATTTGGCATCATTGATGGAGACAAATTGCAATCTATCAAAAAGATATGATGAAAACCATTGCAGAGTATTACCTCGAACACCGCAGTGTTCTAATTTACTTAAGAAGATGGAGTGGTCAACAGAATCAAAAGCTTTCTCTAAGTCAAGAAATACTCCGCATGCAAAAAGTTTATTGTCAAGAGCATTTCTAATAGTTTCAGTTATTTTAATAAGTGCATGAGTTGTGGAGTGTTTGTTACGAAATCCATACTGATGTTTGTAAAGACATTGGTTTTTGTCAAGAAAGCTATAAAGTCTGTTGTACATGGTTTTTTCAAATATTTTGCTAATGTTAGATAGAAGAGAAATTGGTCGATAATTTCTGTAGTCCATTAGAGAACCCTTTTTATGGATAGGAATAACTTTTCTATTTTAAAAACATCTGGAAAAAGACCTTTATTAAAAGAATTATTCAATATAGTACAGAGAGGCTTGCAAATAACATGAAAAGTAAGTTTAAGAAGGTGTGTGGGGATACTATTTGGTCCTAAACTTTTACCATTTTGTAAACTATTTTTTATTAAATCAGACACTTCATTTTCAGTCACTGGATTAAAAAAGAAAGAATTAGAATTAGCATTTTTTAAATAGTCAGAAAAGATACTTTTAGAAGAAACCATTTTATTTTTGGGTGGGTGTTGTATTGTTTCATAGTATTTGTTAAAAATGTTAGCAACAGCCATACATATAACATATAACAGCCATATGAGATAGTGTTACCATTAGACTTTAGAGTGTAAGATTTAATTGATGTAGAGGGTTTGATGTTAATAATTTCTTTTATTCCTTTCCATGTATTTTTTGTATTTTTGAGGTTTTTGTTAAAAAAGGAGATGTAGTATGACTTTTTGGAAATTCTTAATAAATTGCAAATTTTATTCCTGTAATTTAAATTTATCGAATAGTTGACTTTTTGTGTTGGAATTTTTAGATTTTATATACTTTTTGTAGAGCTTATTTTTAATTGCAATTGACTTCAGAACTCCATTAGCGATCCAAGGTTTAGATATGAGTTTAACTTGGTTTTTGGTCAGTTTTTTGTACCGGGCATGACGATCAAGAATTGTGTTGAATGTATTTAGAATGAAGTTCATTGATTCAATGACATCATCATCATTTTTGATATAAAATTTCCAGTCAATATTCGAAATATCCTGAATAAATTCATTATCATTGAAATTCTTAAATGATTGTTTAGCTGTTATGGATTTTTTTCTTTTAAAAGGAGTACTACTAGAAATGCAAACAAACTGTTCCATGTTATCTGAAATTGATATTGTTACGTTACCAAATCAAATCAAATCAAATCAAATCAAATATATTCTGAATAAAGTTGTTACATCAAGGATATTTACAAATAGTAATTTGTACTAATATAAAGTAAACACCTGTCAAAATAAATAAAAATAAGATGGAGATAGTAATAATAACAATTATAATACAAGTAGGAATATCGATAATAATAATAATAATAATAGCAATAATAATAGCAATAATAACAACAACAATAATAACAACAACAATAATAACAATTACAATAATATTCATTATGATATAAATTATGATATAAAATATAGTAATAATAACAACAACAGTGATAAGGAATACTATAGAAACATATCAGTTTATAATAAAAAATTTAATAATTGGTATTAAAATTAGTAATATATCACAATAGAAATGAGAAAAATTAAAAGATGAATAGAAGCACTGCGTTATAAATAATAAGTTGTAAAAAGGTATAAGATTTATAAAGAGTATTTTTCTAAAAAATGGTTAAAGAGAGCAGTTTTAAATTTTGAGAATGATTTAAAAGATTTTAATTGGGAAGGGAGATTGATCCAGGTTTGTATG